ACACACACACACACACACACACACACACACACACACACACACACACACACACACACACAACTAGTGCATTGATTAGTCTGATGTGAGACAGGAGGGTTCTAGACAATGCAAGATAATGTTACACTAATGTGTCAGACAAGGTCGACAGACAGAATGAGCAAGTATGTGAATCAATGGAGCTGATTCAGAGAGGATACAACACAGAGAGAGAGAGAGAGAGAGAGAGAGAGAGAGAGAGAGCGAGAGCGAGAGCGAGAGCGAGAGCGAGAGCGAGAGCGAGAGCGAGAGCGAGAGCGAGAGCGAGAGCGAGAGCGAGAGCGAGAGCGAGAGCGAGAGCGAGAGCGAGAGCGAGAGCGAGAGAGAGAGAAAGAGACAGAGATCCAGGAAAAATGAAGAAACAAGTATTATATACAACATTTCTCAGTGCGTGGCCCCTTTCTGTCACAACAGCACACTCAGATGATTGGCCAGCAGACTGAAGACTCCACAGATCAGATTAACTGCAACTAAACAACAGCCACTGCGCAAACTAAGACATACTGTATGTCAGAGAGATTTGTGATAAAAGACAACAGAGTGACCCCATTTAAAACAACTGGGAATTTTCAGAGATTTACAAGAAAGGAACTTGGGTCATATCTGATATACATAGCTGTATATTAGATTGATATCTAATATACAGCTACTATATGTGGAGCAGAATTTTGGACCAGTAAGATTTCACTGTGGGCGGGGGGCTACCCAGCACTCCACTATTAAAATCTGCTTGTTAAGTTATGACATACGAAATCCTTTTTCGGGGGCGTAGGAAAAAAAAAAAAGCTCATGAAATCTACATCAATACAGCCATAGAAACACAGCGCATTTAGGCCACGCCCACACCGGAGGGGGAAAACAATCCAACCCTCTCCATTGACTTTGTATTGTGGAAAGCTGCCTCCTTGTCATTTCTGACTTATAACAAAATACAGAACAATGCCTAAAAGCGGCTGTGTGACAAGGTGTACAGTAAGCAAGCTAAAAAACCCAGAACTACGTTTATATAAGCTGTCGACCCCAAAAAACGACCGTTTAAGGACACAAAAGTAGAGCGCAATGTCATATTACTCTTGAGAACTACGCCCACTGGAGGGAAACGTAATCGACGACAGGAAATATTCATTATTTTTAACCATGTCAAAGGATTATTTCACCACACTATGTGAACCTGAGAGGAGAAGATTTATTGAGAAACTAAATTTTATTGATCTATGTCAGTGCCCCTTTTCCTTACCTTCCTTTTGTTGGAGAAATGATCCAACTGAATGGCCCAATGTGAAATACCCTGACATCCACAACAATTTGATCGAATCACCAAGTAACAGCATCATTTAATCTACCTAACAAAGATCAAATTCAAAACACATAGCTTAGATAGCTTCACCCCTTAACTTATGTAATAATAATCACAGCACATAGCCTCAGCTTCATAAAAGTTAGCAGGGGTGCAGTTGATTACTAAGTTAGCTATTAGAAAGCTTATATTAGCTATGTGTGTTAGCAAGCTGTAGCTTGGGCCAATTGGTATTCATCCACTTTGATATTTACTACTTAATATAAACTATTTGATAAAATTTTGATATTTACAAGTATTTGTTTCTAATCAAATAATGAATGTTTCCTGTCACCGATTACGTTTCCCTCCAGTGGGCGTAGTTCTCTGATTAATATGACATGTTGCACTCTACTTTTGTGTCCTTAAACGCTAGTTTTTTGGGCCGACAGCTTAAAAAAAACGTAGTTCTGGGTTTTTTAGCTTGTTTACTGTACACATTGTCACATAGCAGTTTTTAGACATTGTTCTGTTTTTTGTCATAAGTCAGAAATGACAAGGAGGCAGCTTCCCACAATACAAAGTCAATGGAGAGGGTTGGATTGTTTTCACCCCCGGTGGGCATGGTTTTCAGATTATGACACGTCGCTCTGTCTCTATAACCATTTCATTGTTAACAGCTGTTTGCGAAAATGTTGCAATTGCAAATTATTTTGCTTCCCTTTAAAATGCATGTAATCAAATCTTGTGTCAGTCAGGATCAGGCCATTCTGTTGAAACAGTTCTTGTAAGAGGAAGAACCGCATCTTCCCATCCAACCAAAGCAACAGAGACAATTTACATGCTCATCAATCAAAACCCATTCAGCTCTGACTGTATTGAACACTTCAGTTCCAGTGTTTCTGTACTAAAGATTATATTATCTATGCAGCACCCAGGGGTTCATACAAGATTGGTGTCTAGTATGAAAGAGCTTCCTAACACACCATAAATGTGACCCTGGACCACAAAACCAGTCATTAGGGTAAATTTTTACGAAATTGAGATATATGAAAGCTGAATAAATAAGCTTTACAATGTATGGTTTATTAGGATCTGACAATATTTGGCCAAGATACAACTATTTGAAAATCTGGAATCTGAGGGTGCAAAAAAATCTAAATATTGAGAAAAACGCCTTTAAAGTTGTCCAAATGAAGTTCTTAGCAACGCATATTACTAATCAAAAATTAAGTTTTAATATATTTAAAAGTAGGACATTTACAAAATATCTTCTTCAAAAGATCTTTACTTAATATCCTAATGATTTTTGGCATAAAAGAAAAATCAATAATTTTGACCCATACAATGTATTTTTGGCTATTGCTACAAATATACCCGTGCTACTTAAGACTGGTTTTGTGGTCCAGGGTAACAAATGTCTTTTTTCCACGCTATTCTTGACACTACTTTAAAGTGATAGTTTACCCAAAAATGAACATTCTGTCATTTACTCACTCTCATGTCAGTCTAAACCTGTATGACTTCTGTGGAATATCAAAAGACAAGATTTAGAGAAAAACCTCAGTGTTTTTTGTCCATACAATGCAAATCAATGGTCATCAAAACTGTTAGGTTACCAACAGCCTTCAAAATATCTTCTTTTGTGTTTCATAGAAGAAAGAAAGTCATGCAAGTTTGGAACAACATGAGTAAATGATGACAGAACATTTTGGTGAGCTATTCCTTAAAGTAACCTTTCACATCTGTAAAGTTAAAAAGTGGTTAGTGCCACTTTTAAGTTTTAACCCAGGTTTACTGCTCCAAAACATAATCCAGAATAATGTCAACACAGGATTAAAAATTAATGGGTTAATGATTTTTTTTTTTTATAATTTTTTTTCTTATAATCCTTTATTCATACAATAGTGAAGGGAGAAAGATAGAAAAAAGGTAGAAAGAAAGAAAGAAACAAACAAACATACATACATACATAGGTAGAAAAAATGGGAAACCTGAGAATAAGTTAAACACTGCATCACTGCGTCAATGGGAGTTCACAATTTCAAAAGCCTACATAAGTCTACCTACATTAAGTGACATCCTCCAGGTTTTTGTTATTGCTAAAATGTTCTCTATATATTTTTATGTGGGTTCCTGATTATTAGTTCCTTGGATTAATGAATATTAGATCCTTTTCTATGAAAGTGCTTTTTGTAAATGATATGATCACAGATCAAAACCTACATGTACTCTGTTTGACAGAAACCTGCCTAAAACTAGATGATTACATTACTTTAAATGAGTCTACCCCCCAAGATTACTTTTATAATCATGAGCTGCATTCAAAAGGTAAAGGGGGAGGTGTTGCTACAATTTATAGTAATATTTTCAGTATTTCTCAGTATTTCTCTTATTTCAAGTATAATTCGTTTAAAGTAATGGTGCTTTATATAACATTATCTAGTGTAATAAGTGTTAATGATAAATTCCTTGTGACGTTTGTACTGGCAACTGTATAAAGGCCACCAGGGCACCATACAGACTTTATCAAAGAATTTGCTGATTTTCTATCTGAGTTAGTGCTGGCTTTAGGGTTGTGACGGTGAGGAAATTTCCCACCAGTTAATCGACGTGTGACAACACCGGTATCACCGTTGGGGTGGGAGGGGGGTGTTAGTTCATTTGAGTTTCCCTCTTTTCTTATCTTTCAAATGGCTTGTAAAAGTGCCGTGCGCATTTTACTTTCACTTTTGAATTAGCGGCAATAGAATTGTCGCAATTCGGCATCAAGCAATTGTTTGTTTGAGTTTTCCCTCTTTTCCTCGGATTTCTTGGCTTTCAAATAGCTTGAAAAAGTGAAGTGTGCGTTTTACTTTCACTTTCAAATTAGCGGCAATTCTGCGTTGATTCAATTCAAGCAACAACGTCAAACTCATAACTTTTATTAACAAATGAATATAAATACACCATATATACCTAATAAAATAACAAATTACTTAGGCTACACAAAATTTAAATGGGTATATAAAACTGAAAATCAGCAAACACTGTGGAACCAAATAAATAAAAAACAGAAAGTTTATTAGCAAAACGAATAAGAAAGCTTGGAGGCACGGCATATACACCTTGATGTAAAATATAATAAATAAAATACACAAAGTTTAAATAAAGTAATCAGCAAACATCAACAAAAATCTTCAAAAAGACTCCTGCTCCGTGGTGCACTGTTGTTCGCGCACAGTTCGGCACGCTGCATTGAGCGTTTAGTTTTTAAAAGTGTCTGTCCTCTAACTGAACTAGGCTAAATTATTTTTGTTTCTATAAAAAAATCAAAACGACGGTGGGGGGCGGTGCCGCGGTAGGCAAATGACCTAACCGGTGTTGCGGCTTAACACCGGTATAACCGAAAACACCGTCTATCGCAGCAAGCCTAGCTGGCTGCAGATAAAATCTTAATTGTTGGAGATTTTAATATCTATGTAGATAATGAAAAAGATGCATTTTTGGGATCAGCATTTATAGACATTCTAAACTCTATTGGGGCTAGACAACGTGTCAGGACCTACATTGTCATAATCATCCTTTAGATTTAATACTATCACATGGAATTGACGTTGATGGCATTGAAATTCTGCAGCAGAGCGATGATATCAGATTATTATCTAGTCTCATGTATACTCCATATAGCTAAAGCTGCAAACTCAACTCCTTGTTACAAATATGGTAGAACCATCACTTCTACCACAAAAGACTGCTTTGTAAATGAAATTCCTGACTGGTCTCAATTCCTCAGCATATCTGATAGCTTAGAAAAACTTGACGTTGTAACAGAAACCACTCTCTCTTAAACAGACTCTCTCTTTTCTAGCACTTTATATATGGTTGCTCCTTTACGCATAAAGAAGATTAAGGAACAGTCCGACACCGTGGTATAACAAGCACACTCACACACTAAAGAGAGCAGCCTGGAAAATGGAGCGCAGCTGGAAGAAAACAAAACTAGAGGTGTTTCGTATTGCATGGAGGGAAAGTACTTCCTCCCACAGAAAAGCCTTAAAAACTGCTAGATCTACTAACTTTTCGTCTCTTTTAGAATAAACCAAACACAACCCCAGGTATTTATTCAGTACAGTGGGTAAATTAACAGACATTTCCCAACATCACAGCAGTAATGACTTTATGAACTTCTTTACTTCCAAGATCGATACTATTAGAGATAAAATTATAACCACGTAGCCGTCAGCTACAGTATTGCATCAGATGTGCACTATAGATCCCCTGAGGAACAATTCCACTCATTCTCTGCTATAGGAGAGGAAGCGTTGTATAAATTTGTTAAATCATCTAAACCAACAACATGTATGTTAGACCCTATACCATCTAAGCTACTAAAAAAGGTCCGTCCTGAAGTCATAGATCCTCTTCTGAATATTATTAATTGGTCACTGTCATTAGGATATGTCCCAAAAACCTTCAAACTGGCTGTTATTAAGCCCATCATTAAAAAACATGGTTCAAATCATACTTATCTGGCCATCATCAATTTGTAGCAGTGAATGATGAGGTATCATATCGATCGCAAATGCAGTATGGAGTACCACAAGGCTCAGTACTAGGACCATTGCTTTTGACGCTTTACATGATACCCTTGGGAGATATCATAAAAAAACATGGTTTTAGCTTTCACCGTTATGCTGATGATACTCAGCTCTCTATTTCTTCACAGCACGACGAAGCATACCAATTTGCAAAACTAACAGAATGCATAGTTGATATAAAAACCTGGATGACTAGCAACTTCCTACTGCTAAATTCTGAAAAAACAGAGGTGTTAATTATTGGACCAAGAACCTCTGCATGTAATAATCTAGAACACTGTCTAACACTTGATGGCTGCTCTGTCAGTTCTTCATCATCAGTTAGGAACCTAGGTGTGCTATTTGATAGCAATCTTTTCTTTGAAAGCCATGTTTCTAGCATTTGTAATACACATTTTTTTCATCTTAAAAATATATATAAATTACGACCTATGCTCTCAATGTCAAATGCAGAATTCTGAGAGTTTTTCATGCATTCATGACCTCAAGGTTAGATTATTGGAATGCTTTATTGGGTGGTTGCTCTGCGCGCTTAATAAACAAACTCCAGCTGGTCCAAAATGCAGCAGCTAGAGTTCTTACTAGAACCAGAAGGTATGACCATATTAGCCCAGTTCTGTCAAAACTGCACTGGCTCCCTATTAAACAACATACATTTTAAAATCTTGCTAATTACTTATAAAGCCCTGAATGGTCTAGCTCCTCAGTACTTGAGCGAGCTCTTATTGCATTATAGTTCTTCACGTCTACTGCGATCTAAAAATTCTGGCCATTTGTTAATACCTAGAATATCAAAATCAACTGTGGGCGGCAGATCCTTTTCCTATTTAGCACAGTCCGTATCCAGTCCAGATGGTGGATCAGCACCAAGAGACGACCTCTACAGCCACGAATGTCAGCGGAGACCATGCCAACTAGATAAGCCCCAGAGACATATCCCCTGTGAAGACCTCGTCAACTAGACGGCCATTGGCACAAGACTACAAGAACCAGACGAGTCCTCTGCTCATCTGACTTGCATTGCGGTCTGGAATTAAACCACACCATGCAGGTTTCGTCTGGCCAGAGGAGAACTGGCCCCCCTGGTTTCTCCCAAGTTGTTTTTCTCCATTTCTGTCACCGATAGAGTTTTGGTTTGTTTGCCACTGGCGCCTTTGGCTTGCTTAGTTGGGGACACTTAATTTCTGGCAATATTGGCGACTTGACTGCACGGATACTATTTGAACTTACCTGAGCTAGATGATGACATCACTGAATCAATAATGAATTGACTTTAACTGAAAAATTGAGTGTTTACTATTGATCTTTTGCATTGTCAACACACTATTCTCCTGTTTAACACTGTAAAGCTGCTTTGACACAATCTGTATTGTATAAAGCGCTATATAAATAAAGGTGACTTGACTTGACTTGATTAGTATATGTCACATTACACTTACTTCCTGTTTCGATTCTGTACGGCCTGCTGCTGTTGCATCTGCTGCTGTGAAGGAGCGGGCCGTTTGCGACTGGCTTCCATGGCCTGATTGTTAAGTCCGGGTCGGACAGCAGGGCTTCCTCCATATGGTGGTCCTGGAGGCCCCATTGGGGCCCCCTGATGAGGCATTCGTGGTCCTGGAGGCATGCCGGGCCGCTGAAAAAAAGATGACAACAAAAGGAATGACATAAGAAAGTGACTCTGAAACAAGAGATTACAGATATACAGTGAATCGGTATAATAGTGCTTTTTAAACATGCACATTAATAACTAACAATCAGTTATAAAAAATTTACTTAAAAGTAATTTGAAATGAAAGTGAAAAGTTTGAAAAATGAAAAGAATATGTGCACATTTGTGTTTAGTTTAAGTTAGGTGATGATGTAAAAATATCTGTCACTGTTAGACCTACTGTAACTTACTAGTACAACAGCAGCTGTTGCTTTCCTTAACAGCAGCAGCAACTGCACACACACAACTTAAGTGCAATCTATTCAACACTTGTGACACCAGAAACAAAAGGTCACACATACAACATTTCAGGATAGTGAACAGATGACTTTGAATGAGTAAACCCGAGTCTTGTCAGACTCACACGTACATGTCTCTCCAGAGAACAGATGTATTTCAACTTTGTCTGATACAAACTCATGCTATTTAACTTTTAGCTGCAATTTAATTTCATGCGTTAGGTTGCTACTCTAATTACATCAGAATGAACAATGGTTTTACTTACGGAAAAAATAACACTGAAACAACCTGATTTTATTGAAATTACAGGAAATGTTCACTACTGAATTGAACCGCTCAATAAATAATGTAGACAAACTAAAAAACAAAATGGTGTTGCCAATATGTTAGAGTAGCATAAATATTCCACAGAATTTAACATCAAGTACAGAGATACACCACATATTAAAGAGATACTAGAGATGTAGCTGCTTTGAAACATGATATGAACTTGACATTAAAAAAACAGTTCTCTCCAGGATATACTCATTTTCTTGGCTGCTAATACAACCGGGAAGACTTCAAATGATGGTTATGATCACAGGGTAAAAATCAGGGGGGCTATTATTACAGATATTTTTTTTCCTGGTATTAAAGTTTCACCCTTAGCTATCTGCTTAAGTAATTGATAATATATTATAGTGACATAATAAAGTCTCTAATGGCTATGGCTGCCAAGAAAAGACAAATGAAAATGTTATTGAGAGTGACATAACTGATGGGTGCACAGGGAGTGAAGGAGTGAGACAATACAACTGATGGATGAAAGATAAAGTTTCCTATGATACTACACAACACCTTACATGAAGAAGAAACAGACAATAAGATGGGCAGGATAGCAATAGGTTAATGACAGCAGACAGGATTTTCTTTAGAAAGAGAAAAGAAAGCAGAGTGCTAGGGTCATGGTGCTGGTAGTGAAATTGGACAGGCAATTTGAGAGCATGTCAAAGGTACGGCTTAGAGTGACAGGGCACACAAATACACAGACAGTGATCAAAAGAAACTCCAATCAGACAAAAATAGACAAATGTACTGCAGGAAATGTACACTCCATGTCTTTCTTTCTCAAGTCATAATGAGAGGACAATGAGTTCAATGAGAATAACTGAAGTCATATCAAACAACAAAGACATGTTAAGTAAGGCAGATATAATGACAAAACACTGAAAGGGAGAAAGCAGGACAGACCTGGATCATGGGAGAAAATAAGGTGTAAAAATGCACTGATGCATCACAAAGCATAAATTCAACGCTTTGATTACAGAATTTATGAATGGACTGGAATTATAGTCATATTCCATGTATTACGTACTTCTTATCCAAAATACAGTTCTTGACCTGTTTTCAGTTGCACCTCTGCAAGAGATGTGTCTTCAGAATATATCTGAAAATGCTTATGAATCATACCACAATAATCAAATAAAATTCACTAACATTATCAATTATAATTGTCATCAAAGGAGGTTGTTCTCTTTTCAGTTGACTGTGAGAAAAATTTGACAGTAAAATTCTGATTCATAGTCTATAAAGTAACATTTTTATCAGTTGGTAAACAGAATTCACTGTAAATCACTAATATGTTTATGAAAATCTCCAATTCATTCATATGAGACATTCTGTAAAGCTTGTCTGAGTTACTGTAGCAACAGTAACCGAAGGGGACGGAGCTTAGTGAAGGGTCATTACACCAGCATTACTGTATATGCCTGCTAGGGCTGGTTCACAACAATTTTTTCCAGTCCATTTTGCTACTTTTGCATTGTTTCCTATGTAAATATACACTAGACAGATTTGTGATGTGATGTTTTTTAGTTACACTCAAGTCTTTTGCAGCATCTCACACGACACAGCGTTCTAAAAAAATGCAGTGCTCAAGTTGAAGAGTTCAACTTTAAAAAAAAAACACACCTTATATTTACCTTATTCCACTGCCTGCATCTTAAGTTTTTCAAAACAAAAACACATTCTGTGTGAATGGCCAGATCTGATTTATTAAGCATTGTTAAAAAGTTTTCTACAAAGCTGCTGGAGCCAAAGACACTACAGAAGAATTGAAGATCTGAAGAATATCTGAATCGGTCAAGCTCCCTTCCTAATGGTGTGAATTCATCATTTGAGATTTGACGTAGTTATGTTAAACACGATTACTTTCACCTTGTGGCTTATGGTGTGAGAAACCTCTTTGCACTTCAGTTAAACAGGAAGGGCTCACATTGAACTGCTGCAGATGTGGTATGTGAAACAAATATGTGAGAGTAACATCTAACTGCTGATTTTAGATGTTTTTTTTTTTTTTTACTTATACAGAGGAAGTGATTGTGATGATGTACCTATTAATGATGTACCTTACGTGGGCTTGAGCCGTGTTACGTCTGCAGGTCAGGAGATTGATTAAATGAACTCTAGACTGTTGTGAAATAAGAGCAGACTGTGTAGTGAGCATTGAATTCAGGGTAATGAAAAACAATGACTTACAATGAGATATTTAGCATTCTATAAGGCCACACACTTGCAGGTGTAACATTTCTGTCATTCCCTGAATACTGCAGATAAACACGTTATCTGTCTCAGTCTGATGTGCTGCCAGATGCTTTTAACTGTCTTTGCCTGCTGTTGAGCTGTCTTACCATCACATTAACACAGGAAAAACTGACCAGCAGGAAAAATTATCATGTTTGATAGCTAGAGAGGAATAAAAGAGCCTTTCATCAGATTCCTCGTTATCAGAGTAGCGGGTTTGCGCATGAACAAAAAACGGAACGTCCTGAAACGTACCACTTAAAATAGTTTAAACAATTACTGTCCTTTGCTGTCTCTCTCTGTGTGGCTGCTTTGTTCACAAACCACTTTGAATATAAATTTGGATGCAGGTAGGAAGGAAAACATTTTATTTGGAATATTTTCCAGCAGTCACACCATGTGGATTTGCACTTCAGAGAGAGTGGCAGTGTTTGTGCTGTCAATCAGCTTTGACTGATGAGCACTTCTGCTCGATTCCTGCTGATAAACAACAACTTTTTGCTCAAGAACATGCACGTCCCTCTGGAGTTTCTTTGCTTGCTGTTAATATGACAACTGCACAGACATCTGATTGGATAGATGACATTATCTGATTCCTGTGCTTTCCATATGTTACTGCAGATGTTTACATTAGCAACCAAATAATCAGTTTATAAACGGACTGAAAATTTTCAAGTAAACCCCTCAGTCCATCCAATTGAGATTGTTTTAAATGAAATTCCATTTCGATTGAAAGGGGCGGTGCAGATCTCTGTTAAAAAGTAACATTTTAGCCACGCTGAATCCAACTACTTTACGTGGATGAATTTACATCTTGCCTATGTCTTAGAAACTTATCTTTGTCTTAGAAACTGGTCAGTGGAAACAAATATACAAGTCTGATTGTAAAGTTTAGGATTCATATAAACATAACTTTCAGATTCTAAAATCAGATTGGGTTATTTCGGAGTGACATAAATTTGTGCATATAAACATGTTGATACACAGGACAAATTAAAAGGTACTTTTATTTAATTGGATGGTTTCAAAATCACAATAATGATTTGTTGTTTGAAGCAACAAACAAAATAGGGTAAAAGTCATAGTGGTTAGACCTATTCTTATTTTGTTATTTTCAAATGGTTTATTATAGTAAATCCGTGTATTTTTAAAGTGTAAAATACTGTTACTCATTTCACTGTATTTCACCATTATAGTACGTTTGCTTTGATTAAAGTGAACTGGAATGAGAGTTTCCGCTCCTAGAGTGAAATGACCTATAGGTCATCTTTATTTATCCACACAGTTACACACTGAGTCTGTCATTAACCAAGACTGTGTTTTATTTTGTGCCCGAGAGAGAAGGAGCAAATATAACGTGTAATGTGTATTAGAGAAACACTGAAACTGTGACACCTAATCTGAACTCGACATTGAGCCAAAACTAAATGTTTGGAAGCGGAGATCAAAAAGAAAATAAGGATCGAGACAGAATATGCATAAAACTAACAACAAGTCATCGTCTAAAGCACAGGTGATTTATCACATGCAGAGAGACAAAATACTCTATATACAGCAAATTTCAAATACTCTGATTAGGTTTTCCAAAACAAGAGATGGTTAATACTGAACAGTATTTGCCACAGATTTCCTTCCATACAAAGCAAACTTTGAGTACTCATTTCACTCATACTAGTGGCTGTTTAAACTGTTACTTAATTGCAAACCTTGATGTGCATGTACTGTTCCTTGCCTTGGGAACAAGGCTGAACCACCACATTCTTGCAGTTCAAACTATGGTCAAACATACAATGTCATGTAACAGAGAATATACAGTATAACTTTCATATGCCAGGCTTCAGACTGAGTGCAGTAGAGAAGCAGTAAGGTGAACAATAGCAAAGGTCAGGCTGGGGTAATTCAGAGAATACAGAGTCCAGAAAAAAACACAGAAGATGCAGAGGAGACGAAAACAGGCACAGGACAGGACATAAAAGGAGAGGAAGCCAAAATAAGGAGCGGGAAACATTTGCACAGGAACAATCAGTGCTTCGTCAAGGTTAATTAGTCTGCAGAGGCAACACCATCATTTTCTTCATTCATCATCCAAACTCAGCATTTATGTGTTATGTGAAGTTAAAGCA